TCCCATTAAAACGCTTATCGGAATTCCTGCCATTCTCAATTGATTAGTGTGCAAACTCAATCCAATAATAAGCTATTCATGATAATTTTTGTTTTACATACACTACTCTAGACAATATTACAATTGCTAACCATACCCGGTAGATCCACTAAAATTTAGGGTATCATTGGTTGGGTGGAGTTTTACAAAATGAAATTATAAATTCGCTTGATTTTGCTGTATACTTCCAATCGACAATACAGCCCAAAAAGTGGGTTATTATCCGGAACTACTGATTACTAATGGCCGGAGTCCCACCCAGAATATGTCCACACGTATCAGACTAAGACCTACACTATTATTATTCTATAGCAATATGGGACAGATGATTTAATCTCATTTGCCTCATCTTTTTGTCTTTTTTGCTGTAATTTCCTCAGATTTCCGTCCCGCCGACCCTCCACCTCTCTCTCCACTTGGCCTGGTCACTCATTGTCTCTGCCGTCTGGTAAGCCAGCCTTTCGCTGTAAGTACTTTCTTCCATGCCCCGACAACGGCAACATCCAAGGCGTTACAATACCAGCTGTGTGCCCTAGGACAGGAAGCTCAAGGGCTCACTTTAACTGAAGAAACCAAGAGACAGGAGGCTGCAGTATCCTCAAAGCAGACACAGAGCAATCCTACCAAGGCTCTGCCAATATCTGGGCCCATTCTGGACTGCGGTGATTCCGTAACACATGGAGTCTTAATCAACCAGCCTGGGGACCCTTTATCTTTGCTATTGCAGCCTTTCGGGCAGGCCTTGCAGAATCTAGTTGAACACGTTCAGGTAGTTGCCCAGTTAACTCGTATTACCATTTTAGATGAAAGGGTAGCATGATCACAGAGACTTGTATATACGGTATACGCCTTGTAAGCTACTTGAAAGGACTCCACCTTTATTAAAGTTGTAACTGATGAATCATGTCATACTTTACCTTGCAGTCGAGTCCACTTCATCTCTTGGAACCTATTTTATTTGCATATTCAACAATAACCACTTATACTACTTACCACAATGAGAAGGACAACCTTATCAAGCCAGGCAATATGTCCGCCTCCTTTGAGGAAGAAACTGCCATTCACATGTCATGTGCCCAAAAAAGTTTATGCCTGACAACAAACTATGCCTTTATCAAATAAGTTTAAGCTACATTTTGGCTACCTCACATTTATAGTTATTTGAATACACGGGAGCCGTAAAAGCCTTCTTCACAGGTTCTTAGAATTCGTGCGAATAGATCCAAACTAGTGAGAAGAGAGCTGGGTTGGAGTTGCGCCTTCTTTAAGAAGTGATTGCAAGGAGGATGACATATCATACGTCCAAGTCATAAATAAGCAATAATTATGTTTATTTTATAAAATATTTAAGTGCTCGTTTGCCTGAAATTGCCTAAACGCGATTGAAAAAGAATCGGTTCATAATACTACTGTAAACAACCGTTAAAGTCCACAGAGATATATAATGAAACAAGTCTGGCTCATTCTGACTCTCGCTATCCCCATAAGAAGCATAGGAAGAATTTGAATTAATGTTTGATTACTCTTAGGTCCTTCAATTAAACATCCTTGATGTATTTTGCTCGTAGAATGGATGAGTTGACAAGCCAACGCAGAGAAGGAGATCAAAAAGATGGTTGTTGTCTGGTTGCTGGAAATATAAAGTCTGCGTGAATTAAGCAGATTTAGTGGGTCATAGTTTTTAAATGGATACTATTTTTTGTCATTACTATTTATTCAGTACGTGTAGGTTACTTCAACTTGTACCTCAAAAGGGTTGGTTAAGTTGTATTCTATCAGCTCAACACTAGCACTTATGACAACTGTTTAATGTCTACCAATGGGGCACGGTGAAAGAATTGATTTTCTGCCCGGCCTATTCAATGCCTATTACTATCAAATATAGTTTCCTAAACTTTTATGTTGATTGCTCCTTCTATCCCCAAATATACTTAGAGCCATCATACTTTACTTTGACATGCTCTTAGTTTCATTAGTCCTCATTAACACACCTCGGATTCATTATCTAGTTATTTACAAATTTAAACGCTAAAACATTTGGATCTTCCACATCCCCTGAAATATATGCACATGTACCACAACCGAGCAGGATACCAAAGACCGAGCCCCCGAAGGACAACTTCCCCTCGAAAGGAGGCTGGGTCGCCCTGTGTATGCCCTGGAATATCTTGCAAATGTCATAATCAGTCTTTCTTGCCACTCTATTGGACAGGAAATTTTGGCCAACCACCCAATCGGCATTCGTGTCAACGGAAATTTACTCCGCTATCCCAGGTGCCTGCATTTCATCCTTTCATAAGCATTTATTTTGTAATGAAATCCCCTCCTCTTACAACCTGTTAGCATTCCGCCCATTATGCCCCAAGGCGTGAACAGATGGAACAATTGACCAACAGTTTCTACCAAATCTTCCTTTACGAGATTTGGATTGTCACTATGCGATAATCTACTAGATTTCTTCCATTGTCTTATTATTTTGTAGATAATGTCAGAAAGTGTAAAGCAAATACCATGTTTTTTGTTTTATAAGTTGGTTTTCAAGGCCACCAGTAGATCATATATATGAGGTGTATTCACCCACTTTCATTAAGTTGATAAGGGACTAGAAGTTAAATTTTCCCACGATTATATGGGTTGATCATACGTTTCCATCGATTTCCACAAAGCCTTGTTTTCACAAAAAGTATTATCATCCATGGTGGACTGCAGTGTCGACCTCGCCTGGGTCTCATCAACATCGCCAATTGGACTCGAATCATGACAGTTCAACGTTTAATCTCAGCACATTAACCACTAAGTCACATTGCCACCAGTATCCTTGAGTCGCACGGTAAATCTGAATTTCATGGAATGCCAGACATATTTTTATATCACGTTCTTTGGTTGGAATGTTGATGAGGTGAGGTCAAAACTGAAGTCCACTTTAGATAAGAATAGCTTTTGGGAGAGGAAGGCTAAGTGAAATTCGTTTATATGTAGGCTTACATAAGTGAAATTTAATAGAAATGTAAGGTTTTCTCATATTATTATGTAAAAATTCAACTATCAGTCACCTTATCACTTTATACTGAAAAGTTTTAAATATTACAAATACATTTTGTCTACACGAAGTATACTAATGTACCAAAGGGTCAGTTACTAGGATGCTTAGCCTGGTTTGTGAAAACTTGAAATCCTACCCTCCCAGGTTTTAATTATCGATAATGCCAGAAAGTTATCTTGAACAGAAAAGAAATGTTTTCAAAACAGATTTCAACCTTTTGCTTATTTGGAACGGATTTGTCCAATGAACTAGACACTGCATTTAACTGTTGCCGAAATGCTGTTGATTTATGCCAGTTGACATTGCTAAATAACATAACTATGGTGCTATTAGATGAAAAAGTTAAATAGTTGTATTAAGTATAAGATTATTTAGTTCAGGAAATAAAGGTTACTATCGATGGCTGGAAGTATCTAGTAGTAATTTGATATAATTAGGAAAAGCTGAAAAGAATGCTTGACTGAGAGTGAAATTTCATCGCACCATTTAGCCTAAAATTTTCATCCCACCATTGGCAGACCAAAGACTTCATTCATGCTTGACATAGAGGAACATATGATGAAAAACTGAGTGTTTAATTATGCTTTAAATATTTCATCTGGAAAGAACAGTTGGGTGGAGAAAAATCGAATGCTGGTTGAACACAAAACAGAAAAAGTTGAATTGTGATCATTGGTTTGGATATAGAATACCTTAGTGCTATATCCATAGAATTCGATCAATATGTTTAGAGCTTTCATACCTTACATCGCTAAAACAAGAAATAGTATTTAAGGTAAATTCGCATGCAGAACAGGATGTCAAATGTTAAAGCAGTGCCCTTAGGAATGCCCCCTTTTATAAGAGTTGTTTTCAGTCTATTTCAGCGACCAAATAATCAAAGTATACTGCTTCGAATTTTCATGCTTATCAAGAATCTCCCAACCTATAAAGCTTATGAATCCTTACAGTATGATTGCGTGCATAGCAATTTTGTGAGAAATATTCGCTTCTTCTAACTGCCATCTATTCAAATTTGAAGAATCTGACAAAGTTCTATATGATCTACTGGTATTCTCGAAAACCTGCGTTTAACACAAAAAAATAAGTAGCGTAGTCTAATACTATAGCAAATACGACATTGCTTGTTTGGCAATCCCACTACAGAATGTGATATAGGAAAATGCCTGACCCCGCTTGAAATTCACATTCTCACCGTGACGCAAGGGCACTTGTGACAGTGTGGCGTAATGGTTAACGTGTCAAGATTACAGGCTGCCCTGTAATAATTCTAGTACCACTGATAAAACCTAGGCGAGATCGAAATTGCAGTCCACCCTGGATAGGAACATGTTTTGGGAAGGCAAGGCTGTGTGAAAAGCATTGGAGACATATGGTCTATTCATATAATTGCGGAAAAATTTAACTAACAGTCTTTCATCACCTTAATGAAATTGGGTGAACACATACCAACCACCTATAAACCTCGCGCCATCTAAAAATGCATTATTTTATGTAGTACCAATGTAGGTCAACTAGTATCTGCCATAAAATAGACGAAAATGCTACATAGGAGGCAATAGGAATAGTAAACGAATTCACTTAAGGCCATTTTTGCTTAAATACTTATGGTTGAATTCCTGACAATGGAAGCATTTTGCAATAATGACCCAAACGAGGTCAATAAGTCAAGGCAATATGAAATTTTATAACGTCTAGGAAATTCATAGTTAAAAGCTACTGATACTTTCGAACCCTGTTTATTTACTATAAAATAGTACATTGTCTTGGAGAAAAAGGCATCCAAGTTGCCTAGAAGATATGCAAATTTCAGGGATTCTGAAAATCAAATTAAAAAAGTTGCCATAACTCGGACACTCTTTATCGTCACTACCAGCAGTGTATATGGCGCTGTGTAAATTCGTTTCGAGTGTCTAAGTTTTGCTACCTGATGTGCGTAAAAGAGCCATTTATTGGGTTTGCAACGTAACTTGCAGAGTTTTGCTTCAAGACTTCATTTTTATGCCATTATTCTGACATTTTCCCCACCAGATCTCGTGTTATTCTCATATTTTTCCTTCTTTCCTCCCGATGCCTAAATGGGCGGCATGCTGCCTATTATGCTCTCAGCGCCAGCCAGCTTGTCTGCCAGCTGTTTGTTCAGGCCCTTCCACAACTTGACGGCATGAGTACCAATTTCGCAACACTGAACACTGTCTCGTCTAGCATTCCTTTGCTCGAACGTCTGGCAACCCTGTTGCGTTGCGTCTACGCCCGTCCTGAGGTACCGGTTGGCCACGGTCTACCTTGGCCTACTGAAGGAAGCTCGAGCCTCAGCGATGAGCATGAGACGATGAGACCGATTCTAGCAGAACAAGCCCATACATTGAGATATCTGCCCACAGCAGGCATTGCCCATGATGTCGATGAACCTTGGATCTTTGCTTCATGCTTGATTTCCGCCTGGAGGGGCTTGGTGAGCCTACTCTTCTTGCTCCTTGACCTCATTGCAACTCTGGAGAGGGGCGAATTTCCATAATTCTTTCCGATTTTTCGTCTATTTAGCTGTTGCCAGAGCAGTTTTACCCCCTTTTAATGCTTGAAATTGCCCTCTTCTAGTGAACCTGACCCGACTTTCGTGAAACCCGGGTGCCTGTCTGTGAGTTGTCAACGGTCGCCAGTAATTGCTTGTACGTGGCAATCAGAAAACTGAATGTTTTTATAGCTCTACGTTGTTGCTGGTGCTGTTGTCGAAACGTGTACATTTGAACGGTACTGCCTTGCCTCGAAGGATATGCTTGCCTTATAACTTAATTGGACTGGAGTTGAGTGGTTTAGGGTGTAGTGTGCTGACGAATAAATTTACCAATTTATGGAAGTGGGTTGACCTCGTTGTCGCAACTTGGTCTTGTTTTCAGGGAGACCATGTAGAACGTACATAGTCCGAAGTCGTCTGCCATAGTAGTTGTCATGATTCCCAGCATCTGACAGTGGAC